AAAACTGGGATTTCGTTTTGAAAGTCGGGATTTTTGGAACTTGGAAATGGCAACTTCTTAAAGCTAAGTTGTACTCTAGTCGAACTAGAACTCTGGTCATGCCCTTTAAGTGAATTTCTTGAAATCCTTCTAGTTTGGGTAAACAACCATATGGCAGTAGGTTGCGTGACATGAAGCTGTAAGCGAAACCAAATTTTGTTTATCAAACGCCCTACAATACATAGGTCAGATTTTATAACAACATTAATTCATCCGGATAACTCTTTATGAGCTAGTCTAAGATGGAGGAAGAAAATATTGCTGGAAGAGATCAAGTTGCGAGTGAATTGATCGACGTTGACATGGAAGAGAGTCTTTCTCCCCAGCCACCGATGTACTTTAACTTTCGACTTGGTCGAGACGCTCAACAAACTACCAAGTGCATTAAATTTGCATTGTCTGCCTTGAACCTTAGCTTCTGTTTTCTTGGATTATGGGGACATCAGGCGTGGAACTACATCCCCCGTTTTCTAATCTGCGCTCTGGCCATCTACAAGGTCTTCTTCTTGTCATACATCGACGTTTTCCAAAAGTGTGGAAGTTTTAACTACTCTTCAGAGGCAATGAAGCTGGCCCTACGCCATGGCAATGTCATTGGCAACATCGACTTGACGATATTCGCAATGGGATCTATCTTGTCGTATCTTGTTTTTATTGGTTGCTTTATGGCAGCCAAACGCAAAGTGTCAGCCTTAGTGACGCCATCACAGTTAATAAGTAAAGACATTGAAAAGAGAGGTACGTTCGTGTTATTTCTTGCTTTGCTGATTTCCACCCTGTTGTTACTTTGCTCAGCACTCCTGTATTTTAAAATACTTCAAGACAACTTGGTAATTGAAGAATCATATTGTAAAACGCTTGTGGCAACAGGAGAAGCGGCCAAGTTCTTATTACACTGGGTGTCAGTCGTCACTTGTCACATCTTCGCAGTCAGTTCATTGGCACTCGGTAGGTTCATTCATTCTTTTTTATTATTATCTTAATAGCTGGGTTTCAAGCACGCTGCTGCTGTGCTTAAGTGGTTTAACTCTATAACGAATGTAGGACGACTTGGTTTCAGACGTCGAATATAAAGCTGTTGCCTGTTTATAATTTATGACTTGCGTTTTCAAGTCGTTTAAAATATTGTATGGTTCTTTCACTCCCGGCTTTCACTTTGGCAAGCTGGGGCTATATCCCGTCACTGGACAATTTCAGCCCGAGTGACACAGGTGTCAGTGTGGATTAGAAAAACGTACCATGTGGATGCAAAAACAAAGCTAACCAGCCCTTTATAGTAGGCTCAATTTACCTTGCAAATACAATAAAACTATACATGTATATGTAGACTACGAGTAGTCCCGCATTTTTCCTCAGAGATAGTAGAGCGAGCGAAACGCAAGCGAGCGTGAAAATCACCCCACGCGAGAAGAAGCGACACTCCCTCTCCCCGCCGCGTGGGAGACTACTCGTAGTCTAATGTATATGTGGTGGCTCTTTGTTGCGAACCATAATAAATAAATAAATAAATAAATAAATAAAACAAACAAATCAAAACAAGCAGAAATAACATTTAATAATAACTACATCGAATTAAAGAATTTTCATTTCTATATATTCTAACGTTACACTGGCATATTGGTACAATGTAAGACGATTACCCAGCCCTGAATCTATGGTCTAATAACAGATCCTTTTCTTTCTTTAATTTTTATGCAGGGACTTTTGTGGAGGATGCCCTCAGAATCATCCGAGGGCTTCAAGACGGGACCCTTGATGACGTCATTAGAATTCACGAAGACCTATGCACAGTAGTTTTTAGCACCGTATCAGCGTACAGTGTTTGGTTCGTAATTCACTGGTTCACTTACGCTGCAGGCGTTCTCTTATTTATCGTTTGGGTATCTACTGAAGGTGAACAACTCTTGCGGAACGGGATTGGAATTCCCACAGTTGTCTTGGTTTATGATGGATTTATCCTTGTTTGTCTTGTTTATTTGTTTTTACTTCCTTGTGTATGTGCTGCTAGAATTACAAGCGGTTGTGCTGGTAAGGTGTAGATAAATAGAAGATATATATATTTTTTTTCATGCAACCCACCTACCCCTGGCCTAAACCAATATTATCACTTACTTCTCGCCTAGGGCAAAATGTTGTCTTAGGGGAGGGGTAGGTGGGCAGTTTCCGTAGTTTCTTAGCTTTTTTAGGTGTTGCGGACGGGTGCAATCAACAAATGACGTTATACAAAAGATTAAAAAGACAATACCCACACAACAACACACAAGCCAACCAACAATGGTTTCTGCAGCAGCAAAATACACCCAAGAGAGTCAACTAAAAGGCGTAAAGAAAGACAGGGACGAACGCTCCGTTTCAGTCTAATAATGTAAATTCCCCGTTGCTAATGTTTACTAAACTTGCAGCGATAATATAATGCTATAAAGAATAGCACTATGATAAATTAGCAGCAGGATAAAAGCAA